ACAAAAGCAGTTACTATAATGCTTTGCAGCTAAGCGGTTTCTTAGCAAAAGAAGTCGATTGATTTGGTTATTGGTTCGACAAGCAATTTTCCTTGCGCTATCACGTTAAATACCTCAATAACAAAGCAAAGTTAAAGGACTTTATCTCCTCTTTTGTGTAAAAGGAGTTTCTTGTCAATGGGCTACAAACTTAAGCTTTATTCGAAAATATTTGGCCGACTTTGACATTTTCAAACCGTACCGTGGTCTTAAAATAGTTAACTAAACATTAAGCAAGTCCAAGCGGTTTAAAATTGACTGCGGGGGGACTTGTCGGACAGAACTTCAACCCGTTCGATTTTAGAAGACAAACCTCCAGGAATTTTGTTAGTAGTTTAGTGGGTGCTGGGAAGCTCATTACGAACTGCTCTTCCTCCCCAGATGAAAAGGAACAACAAGGTACTTGCGCCCGAATCAGAACTAAGAGGCAGCGCTCGTCTTATCGAGCATCCGCAAAATTTTTTAATAATAATAAGTCGACTGCTGAGGAGGATTTCAGGTGCCTTAAAGTTTATCCGCGGCGCTCACTTGCACGGTGACCTGAAGTTGGTAATACTTTCTAACCGTGTATAGCTATGATTAATTTTAGCTCACCCCAACAGTTTATTTGTTCGAGACATAATGTATGGCACGTCTTCCACTCGTTGTAGGTAACCACTACAGCTCACCTCCTTAACGCCCTGTGAGACGGGGTTAGCTTCTTTTCTAAGTTACAAATCAGATTAAGCTGAATTTTAGGCTTTCTACCAATGTGGTGTGGTTGTAGTACGTCAAATTTAAGGATAAATAAATAAATGGAGGTAGAAAGATATATATGTGTGAGATTGAGTTAACAGAAGCTTAAATCTACTACGTACGCTATCACCTGGTTGAAAGCTCGTAAATTCAGCGTTTTTTGACTCAAGCGAACACCAAAGGTACCATTTATTAAAAATAAAATTAAAAAGTTAGTTTTTGTTTTCTGCTTTACGCTCTTTTAGCGGTTTTTTATCTTTTTAGGTTATAGTTTTAGAACTTTTTGACCACTAAATAAGATCTTATTTTACAAATTATTTAAAAGGATTAAAAAAATATTTTCAAAGTTTTTCTCTTAAACGCAATAAGACGCCTCATACATTAAAAAATTTTTTGTTATTTATTAAAAGTCATATAGAGAGGCTTGTTCAACGTATGTATCTGAATCTATGACTTTTCGTAGCAATAAAAGAAAGGCAGCAATGTATAAAGACTGGAGCTACACGTAGTAAAAGATAGTTGTAAAAAGTAAGGTTTTTATGGTATTTAAGCAAGATAAGAGATAATAACACTGAAACGTCTGGTGAAGTACAAGAGACTAATTGTTCGCAACTGATTTACAAGTCGTGTATTGGGGCTAGCCTAGCTTTATGCCCTACTACAAGCAACTTTATCCTTCGTATATGAAGAATTTTTCGCATTCTTTTAACAAAATGGTCTGTTATAGTAAATTTGTCGGTTAACTGCTCGACCCTCGGTAAAAATATTAATACTTACTATTTGTAAAAAAAAAAATTTAAACGAGAAAAACTAGTGACTCACTAGAAAATTTGAAACTTAGTCAAATTAACTATAAAAAACTTTAAAACAGAAGCAAACGATAAAAAAGTTAATAATTAAGTGAAAAGATAACAGGTTTTGTACAAGGATGCTAAAACTGTCTGCGGTAAAAAGCCAGAAAAATATTAAGGGGTAACTTAAAATAACAGTTAATAATACCAGAATATTCAGTCTCATAAGTCCTTTTAAGACTTACTTCAACGACTATAAATCTACTAAAGTAGATTTTTAGTTTAGTAACTTAGGAGTTGTTATTAATATACTCTTCTATAACTAAAATTAATTAAGTTAAATGCTTACTTCAAATAAATTTTCTGAAAGCTTTGTAAGAATATTTTTTTGTAAAAATAATATGAACAAAATGTCTTATATCTACTTCTCTTCGGGACAGTCACGTGGCTTTATTCATAAAGAAATTTAATAGAGGCGATGACCTTACTTAAAGGAGACAACTAATCTAGTATAATCCCTAATAAGAAATCTGGTGGTGCCCCGGAAGTGTAATTCAAAACTGAGTTGAGTCAAGCAGGCTTTTTCTTATTTAACAGGTTTTGGCTTCAGACCCAGCCCGGATGAGTGGTGTTAGTGATTATTGTGCATGTTAGAATTTAGGGACGGGTATCATCTGCACACGAAATAATTATTACATTAGTGAAGAGTTTAATTTATCTTTTTAATAGCTTATAAAATGTTTGAATATTATAGACTTAATCAATTGTCATTTTAAAGTACTGATTGAAGAAAATTTACAATTATATTTTTACAGAGTTGCAGATGACACCATTCAGCGAAAAGGCTTTAAGACAAATAACTTATTTCCTATTAGAAGCAACTTTTATTTCTTTATGAACAGAAATGCTTGTTTATAAAAATTCACGCTATAAATTAACCTCTGTGGTACTCTACTTCATAGTAGAAACTAAGGCTTTAGAGCGTGATAAAATTTATATTTATTATATTGTTCAAAATGTGTATCACAACACTCGTAAACCCGCGTGCTAATTTCATATAAATCCCATACATGACGAAAATAACTCGTTTAACGTAGCTCGCTACACTAAGAAAAAATAATTCAAAGTAAAGCAAATATAAGAGGAGACACAGGCTTAACCGAAGAAATAATAAGAGGACTGGAATAAAAATTTTCTACGCCAAAGATAATTTATCTAATATTTTTAGTTTTATTGCTTTATAATAATTTTTTTATATAAATTGTCGTTATTTAATGGACGTTTCTTTAATTACTTTTCCAGTAATTTATTTATAATGGACCAGGCTTTTGTTCAGTTACGGAATGACAGGAAGTTAGTGTAAAGTTAACAATATGCCCTTTCGAAGTGCACAGCGGAGTGTGGATTTGAAATTTATTAAAAACGTCGTAATTATTTAAAATTGAGCAGCAAGCAATTTTTGGCGTTGAAGTTAATTCGCTAATAATAACAAATATATGTTTTAATTACAAATAAAAAAATTAATATGAATTACTTATTAATGAAAAAAATAATTTTAAAATGTGTTATAAAAATATTTAGCAATTTTTTTTAAAAAAAAAATTAGTTATTAATTGAATAATGCTTTAATTTGTGTTCTACAGTTTATAAGTAAAAAAAAAATTTTAATATTATTTTATATTATTTATCAAATAAAAATTAAACATATTAAATTTTAAATAAATATGATATACATATTAAGTTGCTTAGTACTTTATCTTCTTTAAAAAAATTTATAAACAATAAATAAAGGACGAAATATACGAGAATACATTTAATAAATAATTATAAAAGTAATATAATTTCTAGAATTATAATAAATTTATTCTTCCCCAATAAATTTTTAAATTTTTCAATCAATTTAAGGGAAAAAAATAATAAATAAAGTAATATAATATAATTTTATTAAAAATATTTATGTGACTTCTCTATTAAAAAATAAAAGTATATTTTTTTTTACAATTTTTATTGTAATAAAATTTATAAGTAAATAAATAAAAAAAAGTTAAGTAAAGATTTTTCATTTAATAATTATATAAATATTTTTATATATAACAATAATTATTAATATTTTTAAATACATAACTGTTATAGTAAAAAAAATAAAAAATACAGAATTCTCAAATTAATAAGATTTAAGAAAACTCCGGGGACCATCAACCTTATCTCGTTCTCATTTAAATATCTAATGAAAAATATATATATATATATATAATAAATAAAGAAATATTAAAACCTACAGTTTTTTCAGTAACGAAAGATCGCGAAAGGTATCAGCTGAGAGCCACCACAGTAAATTCTTAGAAAGATCGCTGAGGTAAGTAAAAAGTTTTTATTAATAAATTTTAATAATTCCTTTTTTAAAAAAAATTTATATTCATATAATTAATAAAATTAGAAGAATTAATAAATATTAACAAGATATTAAATTTGAGTATCACTGAAATATTATTATAAAAATATTACTTTGAAAATGAGATTAACTAATAAATTTTACAAAAATTCTTTTATTTGTAATATTTTTATTATTAAACTTTTTTAACATGAAAAAAAAAAATTACATATAAAAATGTAGTAAAGTCATGAATATAAAATTTTAAGTACTTTTTTACTGGCTGTTTAATAGTCCTATATTTTTATAAATATTATTGATTTTTTTTTACTAAAAAGTATATTTTCATAACTAATATTTTTTCTATCAAAACTTTATATAAATTAGTATAAATGCAAGTCATTTACATTTTTTTAGCATTTCTTTAAAATTATAATACTATATAAAACTTTTTAATAATAAACTTTTATAAAAATTTTTATTTTCTTAAAAAAATTGATGTTGTAATATTAATTTTATATTGCATTTTTATAAAAAAATTTACAAAGCAGTTTATATATATTTTTTTATAATTATTATTAATTTTTGTTCTATTAAAAGTAAAAATATACAAATATTACAGTTGTCTTAAATTGCTCAGGTGCTGAAAGATATCGGGACCAAGAGAGTAAAGGGAATTATTCGAAATGTCACTTTTTATTATAAAAAAAAGAAACGGCAAAGTTGGTAGTATAAAAGATATTTATATAATATTTTTTATTTATGAAAATAAATAAGAAAGTTGTAAAATTTTATATATAAAAAAGTTTAAAGCAGCAACAATTTTTTTATAAAACTGAGTATTAAAAGAAATATTGGGTACTAATTTTTTTTATTCAAGTTTCTCAAAAGTAAAAAATATAATTCAGATATTTGGAAAAATAAAAAAGGATGTAAAAATTAGTAAAAGGAACGGATCTGCTAGAAAAAAGATAATAAAACCAAAAATATATATTATCTATTATATTTTAAAGTCAATATATATAAATAACAAAAAATTTATATAATAGTAATAAAAACCCTACAGATGAATAAGATTTGAAAGTTTATCGAAAGTTCTCTCATCTATAGCCGTTATACCGTTTCCTCGAAGATGACTAGCTCGAAGAGAATACAAAAAGTTATGGAAACTTGTATAAATAAGTAAAAAGTACAGATATTTTAAGTTGGTGAGTTGCTCAAACGCTTCTGTTGCTACAGAAGTTATACTGTTTTCGGAAATATCTCTAAAAGTGTATATAAAGTTTATTCACTAATAAATTGTTTTGAATTTACTGTATATAATATTTAAAAAAGGCATGAATATGCATAAGTATAAAAAATATCTAAAAAACTTGTAATTAATAATTATTTATATTTTTGAAAAATTACTTTAAAATAATTTAGAAAGTTTTATTAATAAACAGTTTATATAAAATTTCTGTTGTATAAAATAATAATATTTAGTAATGAAAAACTTTTACTATTTTTAATTAATTTAAAAAATATTATCAATAATTATATAAAAATAGAATGGAATAGTAAACTGTAGATAAAAAATATTAAAGATTAATCATATGGCTGAAATTTATAATAATGAAAATTATGAATAACAATATACTGAAAAGGATTTATAAAAAGAGAATAAATAATAATAAAACGGAACATAATTAGAAGAATTATTACTAAAAACTTAAATACAATTATAATAAAAAAGAAAATTTATAAACTACACAAGTTGATGTATGTCGTAAAAAATATTTTAATACTAATATTAAAGTAATATAAGTTAACAAAGAAAGATTGATAAGTTTAAAATAAAAAATATTAAACGTACAAAAGTGTTAATTTGTTTAAATTCCTAAACAACCCTCTTTCCAGCGAAGTTAACTGGTTTACGTACAAGTACCTGAAAGGAATAGAAATAAAAGTTTTCAAGGTTGAAAAGAAACTCAAAAAGTTATAGAAGTTACATAATAATAGTATTATATTATAAAAATTAAATAGGAAAAATATAATAGAAAATATTATTTCAGTGTAAGTATATTTTAATATTATTAAAAGTATAAGAAACTCATGAATGTTTTAACTAATTAATTTATCTAAAAAATCGTCATATAATAAATTTAAATAACTTTAATAATAAAAAAGTTAAACTTTTATAATTTAATTATTATTAAATTAAAAATATAAGTAAAAATTAATAATTTATAATTTATTAAGTCTAGTCGTACAAAAATTCCAAATTTGTTAAAGAAATAAAGCATGTTGCCGAGATTGAGGCGATGGAGTTTTCGCCTAAATGTCTATTGGAATATTTGTTTACTTTTCTACAAAATCATTACATACATTTATTTATATAAAAAAAATTATTTATAACGGAGAAAAAGAGGAGGAGCGATTATTTAGAGTCCTATAGAGGAAGGGTATTTATACCTTCAAGAAAGAAATATAAAAAGTAATGCGGGGCAGACGTAGGAACACGTGCTACCGCAAGACAGGCACGTGGTATGAGTACGTGATTTATCGAAGTTAACCCCAACACAATTTTTATAAACTAAACAATTTGGGTATATAATATTTAATTTCTACAAGTTTTGATTATTTTAATAACTTTTTAGGTTTTTTCATTAACATGCGCAGAAACTTTTTTATGTATAATATTTATTAATAATTATAACAGTTAATTTTCTTTTCTAATGTTTTATTATAATACTATTTAATATTAATTTTAGTTTTTATTAAATAAGCAATTGATAATTTTTTTTAAGTTAAGAACAATTAAAAAATTTTATTGTGTAACAAATATTAGTACTGATCCTTAAAATTTATAATATAATCTTTTACTTATAATAATTAATGTACTTTTACTTTTAAATAATTAATAAAATAAATCAATTTACTAATATTACTTTATAAATTACAATATTTATTAAATAATTATTAACAGCACATTAAACTTTATTGAGTCTACAAAAATATGAATAACTTTTATAAACAAACACTAAAAATATCAAGCGTTTTCTATAATATTTAATTAAAAGCGTTAAAAAATATACACAAGAGCTTCGAAAGTTGGTATAGTTAATATAATTATTTTCAGTTTCTGAAAATTTTTTCGTCTCTACTATTAATTGAGATATCTTAATTAATTAGTAATATTTTACAAATTTTAGTAGAAATATTTTTATAATTAAGCACTATAAACTGTTTTAAATCTTGTAATAAAAATAATTACAAATAATGCAAAGTTGTTAATTTTACAAAAATTGTTTCTTCCAAGGAGACAATTTTGTTACCCCTCAACTCTCTATTAATATAGTTGAGATATCATAAAACTACAATTTATAAAGTTTACAAATGCGTCAAGGCCGTCAAGTTTCCAAAAGCATCGTTAGTAAAGTTGGTTATTGAATTATGACTTAAAGACCTTTTATTAATTAAAAAAAATTAAAAAATAATATAAAAATTAATTCGTAATAAATAATAATTTTTGAATCAAGAAATTATAAGAATTTAAACTTTATTAAAGATATTAAATATTTTTTGCTTATAATAAGAATAAAACAAATAGAATATTAAATTTAAAAGAATTATAGCCAAAAATACAAAATAATTAGCTTAAAGTAATTAAAAACAAAATAAAACTTACAAATAGCCTAAACTTTAACTATCTTAAAAAAAAAACTTTATTTTTTTATATAATTTAATAATTATAATCAAAAATTTATTAAAAATTTTTTCAATTTAATTAATTTTTTTTATATACAAATAGTCCAGGTGTTGGAGTGCTTTATACGCAGCCCCCCTTCCAATTTCTGTTAGTTTATTGTTGTTTAAGCGCCTTCGTATTACAGTATTTTATTAAAAAACGCAACTTTTATAAAGTTTAAATTAAAAACAGACAGTTCGATTAATGCTATGTTATTTGTAAAAGTATCAAATGCCAGTGAAGTTAATAGATTTCCTGATAAATCTCTAGAAAAAAAATAAAAAATGAGTTAATAAATTGAATAAGGAAATTGAAGTTTTATATCAAAGTAAAATTTTAAGAATACAGTAATAAAATTCTTAAAGAATGATTAAAAACTAACAAATATTCTGCTGTTTCTATTTCGCTTAATATAGACTTATCAAGAGATGTTAGCGAATTGTCATTAAGCTTTCTACGTAAATTTATTTTTTAATATTACAAGAACTTAGTTCAAAAAAACTCGCTAATTTACAGATGTTGCAAACGAATCAGATTTCTCAATGTTCCTACCTCCAAATTGGTAATTTGGTTTTTGCTTAAGTCTCTAATAAATATTACAGTTAAAAAAAAATTGTAATTTTTTAAGTTAATTTAATTTATTAAAATTACAGCTATATAAAAAAACCTACAAGTAAGCCAATAATTTGTTTTTTTCAAAGGCATCGACTTCAAGGTAGCTTATAGAATTGTTATGAAAACTTCTACAAATTTATAATAAGAATAAATAAGTAATTTTTTTAAATAATTTACAAATATTGCAAATTCGTTAAGAATTGAAATGTATTGGAGTGAAGAGCGGTCATCCTGTTCCCTTCCATAATCCTTAAAATAAAATATATTATTATTTGAATATATATTATCCTGTATAACACTCGAGTATAAGTCAGAATAAGAATAGAGAATATAAAGCTAACAGGCTCGTAAGCTGTTCCAAATTTTTAAAGTCCTTCGAATGAATCGTTGTAATAGCTCCTCCCGTAATAGTTCTTATTAAAACGATGTAGGAATCGCTATTAGAAAAACGTGATCTAGCATAGAGTACTTTCTTTCGCATACATAATAATAATACACAAATTACTACTATATGCATTCTCAGCAAGTTTTGTAGCTTAAGTGGTAATAATATTTGGATTTAAAATTTTTAGGTATAAACGGTAATAATCCGATATAAAGTAGGAAAACTTTGCTAAGAATGGAAAACACTTTAGATTCATAAACTTCTTTCATTAAGCTCCCAGCCTATACTATGAAAGTTAAAGAGCTAACTTTGAGCCTTCTCTTTACCATACGATTCCTTCAACAAAGACCCTTTAATCATTACCCTCAAGTTAATGTTCTTTAATAGGTATTGTGCCTTATATATATATAACGAAATGTCTCTGATATGATTCGTTTTCACTGCTTTCTTAATTAATCCAAAAGTACTAATGTATATTTTTTGAAAGATTTAATGGAACCGGAACCACTATCCCGTCTAAAAGACGGCTATCTACTATACGGGTTCACTGTAAGGGTAAACAAAACGCTTCGCCTTCCCTGTAATACTTTTTTAAAATGATGAAATATAACTTACAAATCCAAACAGGTTGATTGCTTCCGACATTTCTGAAGCTGGAAATCGTTCGTTAGTTGTGTTAAACATTTATTATTTCGTGTAATGATAAGGAAAACAAGAAATACAAACGGTATCATAATATTTTTCAAGAGTAGCGTTCACTACTACTAAATTTACCTTATATATTTATGTCCACAAGGCATTCAACAATAAGTCGAATCATGACTAGAATTTTTTTAAAATTAAAAAGGATAAAGAATTATTATCGCCCTTATAACTTTTAAGAGTTAAAGGCTCTAACTAAGCTATCTTATTTGTCTTCTTTATCTTTGCTTTGCAAAATGTAAACTTAAGTTAATTTATTTTTAAGCGTATAAATTTGGCAAAGTTAATTTTTTTTTGATTTTTTTTTATAATATAAATATTATAAATGATTACCTTCATATTTAAACAGTTTCTTCTGCTCTATCTGTTTTATTTTTATTAACTAAATTATCATTGTTAGTTAATAGTTTATAGAAATGTCAAACTTGTGATTATTATTTATTGCATTAGCATACCTCGCCGAGAAGATGTATTTTTTATAAAATTATTTTACTTCATAAAAACCGCGTAGTAGGATCCGCTTGCATAACCTTACTGCTTAAATTATTATTATCTTATGACAGAATATTACAAATCGGTAAGAATTATCTATAAAATGTTATCAAGGTTATTACCATAAATTAAAATAGAGTATTAGCCTTAATAGCCTTTTTATTTCGACATAATATCAGTATTAGATAGAAAAAGTATTATTTAAGAAATTATACTGGTTGCTTTCCTCACTTCTAAAAATGGATAATATTTTCAGAGTAGCATATATAAACATTAAATTAACACTGACTAGAAAATTCAAAAGTATATTTACTGCAAATATATTATAGTAAAAGTCCTTGTTATGTGAAACACTCTGCACTGGTTAGCAAAAGCTTTTAGAGGTATAAAACTACAAGTTGACACTTATATTGTGAAATTACTTCACAGTTATTAGCCTCAATGCCAAGTTTATATTATTTAGTTCGAAAACGTGAAATATTTGTTACCGGTTCAAGCTTTTTCTTTTGCTGGTGTTTCATCAGCTGCCACTAAGTCTTAATATTGGAAATGTACTTTAAAGTGAGATTTGTAAAGAAGATTATAGAAACTATTATACGTCCTTTTTAGTCACAATAAATATAGAAGAATGGCTCTATACTTTCCAACAACAACGTCTCATCATAAAAGTTTTGCTTTCCCCAGGGTTGATTTGATAGTATATCAGTGGATCTGAAAGGTACAATCCCTTCTTTATAAGATAAATGACTTACTTGGAAAACTTTAGAGACTAATTTTTAAAAGTGTGTGTCATTTTTATAGTTTAATAAAATTATTATAGTTAAATATTTAACAAAGTGCTTATTCCACTCCTTGGATTTGTTGAAAAGCATATCTTGAGGGCATATTATAGAATTAATTTTTTTAAGGTGTAGTTTAGTAGGCATAGAGTTTTGAGAACTAATACAGAATTTTTTTCAGGTTTCCTTAGG